TCTTTTTGCTTATGTGGTGCTGAGGAATCAAACCCAGGGCCTCAGGCATGCAAGGCAAGCGCTCTACCACTGAGCCACCTTCCCAGCCCTCTTTTGATTATTTTAATATACAGTGTATTCATTTCAAAATCACACCACAAAATCCGCCTTACCATATCAGTGTCAATGGAAACTCTGAGTGCAATCTTATTCATTCTATTACCCTTAAGAGTTTTCAGGTGAGGGCACAATGCAGCACTACAAGCCATGGCTATTTCTTTTGCAAACTGATAACAAGTAGATAAGTCCTGGTCTTTTGGGAAGTATATCACCTAAAATGAATTTAATTGGGAAACAAGTCATGATTAAAAATAAAAGAAACTTAAAAATGCACCACAATTGATCATATTAAGTAAGCCAGGCCCAAAGAAACATCCCATGGTTTCCTCATTTGTAATAATTAGTATTTGTCTAGGATAATCCTAGCATATGAGCAGAATAGCTAAATAGCTATGTACATATGACCATACAAGATGATGCTAAGCAAAATTAACTCCATGACATGGAAACAAGAGGTTTTTCTTTGTTTTTGTTGTTTTTAATGTATTATGTGATTTCTTTTTTGTTTTGTGTTTTTTTTCTTTTTCTATTGTTTATCCCCTGTTGTCACTGCAGTTGATTTTGGTGTCCTGGGTATTGTATATACCTTTATCTTAATTAGGAAAGGGAAGGGGAACAACAAAATGGTGAGACAAAGGACCAAGGGCAAGCCAATGCAATAGTGATACTCACAAGACAATATGTCTCAGGGAGGGAAAGTGGGAAAAAATGGGAGAGGAGGTAATAAGTTTGACAAGAAATGTACTTACTACCTTACAGATGTAACTAACTCCTCTGTACATCACTTGGACAATAAAAATTTTGTTAAATGTACCAACTGCTACTTTTGGTTAAATTTTAATTCCAATGTTTCATGAAAATCACTAGTTGAGAACATTCTTTTTTTTTATTGTGAAAATACTGTACAGAGGGGTTACAATTACATGGGCAAGATAATGAGTACATTTCTTATCAAGCATTGTAGCCTCCTCCTTTGTATCCCCTTCCCATCCCTTCCCATCCTCCCCCCACCCCCCCACCCAATCCTCCCTGCCCCTCATCCTCCCCCACCAAAGTTGTAAAGTTCATTTTGACATAACGACTTGTACATCTCATTGTTGCAATGGGTCCACCTGTATCCCTATTTAAACGATTTGTTTTTCCCCTTCCCCTCCACAAATTATACCGACATCAAATACAGTGAGAACATTCTATATCTACAATTTAACTCTCTCTATATATATCTACAGTTAACTCTATATAAACCAAAGATTGCAGATTATGAAAAAGGCTCAGTTATTTTCACTTAAATTTGACTTATCAATGAAATTCTTGTTATTTCAGTTTACAAAGCCCATCCTATAAGGACAGCTATATGAAATTAAGACCAAAGATAATATTCTACTGTTTCTATATTTACTGTAGCTTTTATCTTACACATACATAAAATCACAAAGAATACCTGATTACCTGATTACAGGATAGTTGAATGAGGGAGAATAAAGGATTGGGAGGCTTTAGTTCTATAGTTTCATATTCTCTTATTTTTTTAAAACATGGTGTGAGCACACCAGGCACTGGTGGCTCAGGTTTATAATCTTAGCTACTCCAGAGGCTGAGATCTGAAAATTGGAATTCAAAGCTAGCCTGGGCAGAAAAGTCCGTGACACTTATCTCTAATTAATCACCAAAAAAAAGCCAGAAGTGGCACTGTGGCTCAAGTGGTAGAGAGCTAGCCTTGAGCTGAAGAGCTGAAGGGCAGTGCCCAGGCCCAGAGTTCAGGCCCCATGACCGGCAGGGAAAAAAAAAAAAGAATACTGATTATAAGCTGATGTCAATAAAACATTTTATTCACTGTAAGAGTAAAATAAAAATATTGTGAAATAACATATTACAGTACAAACAAATATGGCAATGGACCATCATGATGATAACCTGAAGTTAGTCTGCTGAAATCCAAACATGATAGGTAAAAGACAGACATAAGTGAAAATCTGCACCTCAAAGTATAAAATAAGTAGTGTAATGAACTGTAGTTAAACATGCAAAGGTAGAATATGTACTCTCTACATTAAAAAAGAATGTCAGGTGCTGGTGGCTCATGCCTGTAATCCTAGCTACTGAGCAGGCTGAGATCTTAGGATTGCAGTTCAAAGCCAGCCCAGGCAGAAAAATCTGTGAGACTCTTATCTCCAGTTAACTACCAGAAAACTGGAAGTGGAGTGTGGCTCAAAGTGGTAGAGCAATGGTCTTGCATAAAAAGAGCTCCAGGACAGTGCCCAGGCCCTGAGTTTAAGCTCCAGGACTAAAAAAAAAATTTTCCCCTTACCTCAGTACATTTTAAAATCTTCTCATCAGTTTCAAAATCTGCTTCTAATTTTATTTTTTCGCTTGGAAATCCTTGTAATGATATTCCATCCACTGAACTGGTAACACTACAAAATAAAACAATGTAATCCTTTTATTAACAAAGTACTTTTTATAAAATAAATTAACAGATTTGAATGGGTGAAAGAAAATAAAAGCTTGAAATAACAAATATCTCAATTATAGGCAAAACAATTAAATCTCTACTTCACTTATCCCAACCTCTTGAATGTATAAGTAATTTTTGTTAATCAGTAAATTATATCTTCTTTTTCATATAGTCAATTAGAGCCTATGTTTAAAATATCTTAAGTAGTATCCTAACATAAAAACTGTCTCCTCAGGGCTGGGAAGATGACTCAATGATAGAGCGCTTGCCTTGCATGCATGAGTCCCTGGGTTCAATTCCTCAGCACCACATAAACAGAAAAAGCCGAAAGTGGCACTGTGGCTCAAGTGGTAGAGCACTAGCCTTTGGCTGAAGAGCTGAGGGACGGTGCTCAGGCCCAGAGTTCAAGCCCCACAACTGACCAAAACAAAAAACAAACTGTCTCAACTCAAAAATTTATTTTGCAATGTTTCAGCATTAGCCACCCACCTCTTCCTTCTGTGTTCCAGACCCCTCAGCAATCTCCAAAAGGGAAAGACTATGGGTAATTGAAAAGTGGAAGGAACAGCAGTAATCATCTACAAGACTGCCAGTGTCCATATTCACCCATCCAAAAGGTATTATTATTTGATTAAAAAATACACCATAGGGGCTGGGAAGGTGGCTCAATGGTAGAATGCTTGCCTTGCATGCCTGAGGCCCCGGATTTGATTCCTCAGCACCACATAAGCAAAAAGAAAAAAGCCAGAAGTGGTGCTGTGGCTCAAGTGGTAGAGAACTAGCTTTAAGCTGAAGAGCTGAGGGACAGCGCTCAGGCCCAGAGTTCAGGCCCCACGACGGGACCCCCCCCCCAAAAAAAATACACCATATAGCAGAAAATATGTTGACTTTTGTCAAGCCCACAATGCTATTCAATAAATGTTTTGACACTGGTTCCTTCCCAATTTGGCCACCAATTAATAGCAACGTGACCAAGAAAACACGTCTTTGGAAAACCAGACTATATTTATTAAATGGAATATAAGCACTTAAAGTAGTGGCATAAATATATGTCCAATCATGAAATATTTAATTATATCATAGTTTTTATCCATCTCCTTCCATCAAATCAATTACATTGTACTAATAAAAATTCCTACCCTTTATTTCCTTTTTCTTCTGAATCTACCCAGCAGATATCCACATATTCTCTCAAGTCTACTGCATCGACTTTTCCACAAGTAATTTTAAAGTCTTTTTGCTCTCGTAGAGCAAGCCGCAAGGCATCCATGGTTTCTGGAGTTATTTGGACCATTAAGCCATCTAAAAAGGAAAGTTACATTTTACATTTCTTTTTCCAAATATCAGTCTGTATTCCTATGCCATAAAATTCACTGCTAAAATACATTGAGAGCAACAGATGAATGAGTAAAGATGATGTGGTGTACATACAGACCAGAGTACTTATTCACCCAGAAGAATGAATAAAATGCTGCCATTTGCAGCAACATAGATGGAACTGGGAGACATTATGTTAAGTGAATATACCACACACAGAAAAAAAAATTGTTTCCAGTTTACATGTAGGAACTAAAAAACTGATTTCATACAAGTAGAGAATAAAACAGTGGTTACTAGAGACAAAGAAAGATAGTAGAAGGGAGATATAGATATTAAATGACGTACCAAAATACAGTTACATAGAGGACTACATTCTATTGTAGGGGACTATAGTTTGCACAATTTATTAAATATTTCATAAAGAACTATAAGAGAAGAATATGAAGTTTTCCAATACAAAGAAATGTGTTTATGAAAATGGAAGAGTAATTGCCAATTTAATCATTACACATTTTTTTTAATTTACTTATTCATTTTATTTTATTTGTGAAGATACTGTACAGAGGGGTTACAATTACATGGGCAGGATAATGGGTACATTTCTTACCAAGCATTGCAGCCTCCTCCTTTTGTTTACCCTTCACATCCCTTCCCAGCCTCCCCCCTCCCCCCCAATCATTACACATTTTATATATAAATATATATATATATATTAGTTTATAACACTGAACAGCAAATAAACAGGATTACTATATGTAACTTAAAAAATGGAAGTGAGGGGCTAGGAAGGTGGCTCAGTGGTAGAGTGCTTGCCTTGCATGCATGAGGCCCTGGGTTCGATTCCTCAGCACCACATAAGCAAAAAGAAAAAAGCTGGAAGTGGCGCTGTGGCTCAAGTGGTAGAGCACTAGCCTTGAGCTGAAGAGCTAAGGGACAGCGCCCAGGCCCAGAGTTCAGGCCCCACGACCGGACCCAAAAAAAAAAAAAATGGAAGTGAAAGATGTACAGTGTCTAACACTATACCAATTACAAGTTAGCTAGATAAAGAAAACATACAAACAGATGAAAAATGAGCAAATGTTAGGATAGGCATTTCAAAGTTACGTATGTGCCTAATAAATAATAAAATATAATGGTAGAGTGCTTGCCTTGCAGGCACAAGGCCCTGGGTTCGATTCCTCAGGACCACATAAGCAGAAAAAGCCAGAAGTGGTGTTGTGGCTCAAGTGGTAGGGTGCTAGCCTTGAGCTGAAGAGCTGAGGGACAGTGCCCAGGCCCAGAATTCAGGCCCCACGACTGACCAAAAATAATAATAATAATAATAAATACAATGAGGTGATCTACTTCTTAATAAATAGAAATATGCCAATAATGACCAAATTTGGAAACACCTACTGACTGACACAAATTTAATAGTATGATCATACCATGTTTGGAGACTATGTACACCAACAAAAAAATCTTATACATCAATGTTAATGAAAATTGCTTTAAACACTTCATAAAACATTTTAGCAATATCTTGCAGAGGTAGTCACTAATTAATTGTCCTTGAAATTCCACTCCTAGAAATATAAGAAAAAATTGGAACGTGTATCCCATGTATACATACACAAGTATGAATGCCAATAGACTTATTCTTTCTTTCTATTTTTTTGTCAGCCATGGGGCTTGAACTCTGGGCCTGGGCACTGTCCCTGAGCTCTTCAGCTCACGGCTAGTGCTCTATCACTTTTAGCCACAGCACCACTTCCCTATTGTTTGTAATAGTGGTAAAAACACGAAACAATTCAGAAGTTCATGATTAGGGGCTGGAAATGTGGTTTAGTGGTAGAGTGCTTGCCTAGCATGCATGAGGCCCTAGGTTCAATTCCTTGGTACCACATAAATAAAATTAATAAAAGCTTAAAAGAAAGTATTAAAAAAAGTTCATGAAGACCAAATTGTCACATATTCACACAGTATTTAATAGTACTAAAATGAATAAAAAGCCGGGCGCCGGTGGCTCATGCCTATAATCCTAGCCACTGTGATCTGAGGATCACAGTTCAAAGCCAGCCTTGGGGAAGAAAGTCTGTGAGACTCTTATCTCCAATAAACCACTAGAAAACCAGAAGTGGCTCTGTGGCCCAAGCAGTAGAGCGTTCACCTTGAGCTGAAGAGCTGAGGGACAGCACCCAAGCCCAGAGTTCAAGCCCCACAACCAACAAAAAATAAAATAAAATAAAATGAATATAGGCACCAAAATGCATAAATTTTAGAAATATAAATACTGTGTGAAAGGAGTCAAGCTCCACAGGACTATGTGTAGAATATCACTTTTATAAATCTTTTAAATAAGCCTTATTATGTAATATATTATTTAAGCATAAGGCAAAAGCAGAGTAAAAGATTAGTAAAAAGATTAGGAGAGGAACACAAAGGCACAATACCTATGTAACTCTGATCACATAAAATAATATTTATTGAAATGAACTCCAGAAAATGGAAATGAGAGGGGTTTTTTTTGGTTGTTTTTCTTTTCCTTTTATTTTGTTCATTTATCTGTCTTTGGGGAGGGTAATAGGTGGGACAGAAATGGTAGAACAAAGGGTGAACAAATGCAACAGTGGTCCCCACTAGACACTATGTTGAAAATGAACTATACAATTTGTGGGTGGGGATGAAAGGGAATAACTGAAGACAGTGAAAGAAGGAATGACACTGTCCAAAACAAAATGCACTCATTACCTGACTTATGTGACTGCAACTCCTCTGTACATCACCTTTATGGTAATAATATATATTTTTTGGGGGGGGGTCAGGTCATGGGGCCTGAACTCTGAGCCTGGGCGCTGTCCCTCAGCTCTTCAGCTCAAGGCTAGCACTCTACCACTTGAGCCACAGCGCCACTTCCAGCTTTTTTCTTATGTGGTACTGAGGAATTGAACCCAG